GTATAATGTAGCGGGGGGCATGGGGAGGGCTGTGCAACACAGAGATGACAAGTAGTGATTCTACAGCATCTTACTGCGCTGACGGACAGTGACTGTAATGGGGTGTGTTGGGGGGGGCACTTGGTGAAGGGGAGAGCCTAGTAAACATAATGTTCTTCATGTAACTGTAGATTAATGATATCAAAAAAAAGGTTATGATCATCTAATGCATGATTATATTTATATAAAATTCTAGAAAATGCAAACTGACTGATAGTGATAGGAAGAGCACTGGTTTGTCTTAGAATGGGAGAAGGGTGGGAAGAAAAGATTACAAAGCTTGAGGAAATTTGGTAAGTAATGAAGATATATTTATTCATTGTGGTGTGGACTCACAGGTATGTACATATGTCAAAACTTAGCAAACCATACACTTTAAACATGTGAACTTTACTGCATAAGACTTAAAAAATAAAAATGGAGAAAGAATTTCATAATCACTTAATAAATACAAGGAAATGATATATGAAATTTTTAAGAGGCTTTATGGGAAGAAAAGATGAGCACAATATGAAGATTATTTATATAGCCACCTGTACACCAGAGTGAGCCAAACAATGAAACTGTTTGGTGATGACAGGTTTACTGGGCTACTAATGACAAGCAAAGATGTCGGAACAGACCAAGTCACTGTCCTGTGAGCAGAATAAAGCAAATGATAAAGGACAATTCAGAAATCACTGCTGGAGACTATGTATCCACCATGCAATAGGATACACTCCAACACAGTGCCAAAAGAGAAATGCGAAAAGGAAAAGCAAGGACAGCAGATGTCAAAGGAAGCTCTCCAGAATTCTCTCCTCTGCTATCTATAGAAGGCGCTTTAGCAAATCTTTATGGGAAGTTGTCTTGGTATATATATATTCCTAAAAGAGCGACAAGAAACTCCCGAGAAATAAATAAAATTTTATTTGGTTTATTTCTGAATGATTTTTTGCCATTCCTGAGAAATGATTTTGCATTGAAAATTCTGATTGTCAATACAGAATAAGAATTTATACCAAAAATGTATGTCTTTGTGACTTTAAATATTTAAAATGTTATATAACCTGCTATTCTTGAGTTTTTAGGTAACCCCAGGCAATGATGTTTTTTTCACTAAGGCAAAATAAAATGATACTTAATATAGTCTCCAATTGGTTCTTACAATATATTCATTTTAAATAAAACGTTTTTCTAGCTTAGATACACATTCTTAAGGGCATTTGAAAGGACAAATGCCTTTCATCCCATATTATGTACTACACCTCATAGGCTAAATTGTCCAAATTATCAGGGTAATCATCTTCAATGTAATTTTTTATAAATAAAGGTAATAACCCTTCTTCCTCTTTCCACCTATCCCCAAAGCTATAAATTAAGTTAAAAGACAGTGCTCCCAGCTAAACCAGGACTCTTGTTTTCACCATGTTTGCTTAAAGAACAGGCTCTGAAAGGAATACCCATATCCTAAATACAATAAGCTTTAAAAAAATCTAGCCCAAGACCAAACAAAAAAGAGGGGAGGGGGAGAAGGGAGTGGGAACATCATAATTGTCATTAATTGCTTATGGTTACCTAATAAATTTATTATTATCACTGTCTCTAAACTGTAAGCTCCATGAAGACAGAGATCAGGTCTATTCTGGTTCACTAATCAAAGAGAACAGCCGGGAGTAGATGATGGAGTACAGTAAGCAGTCAACAGATAATTTGTTACAGGAATGAGTTACTGAGCAAACAAATGAGTGAATAAACACACACATACACAACTGATAAAGAGAACATAGATTTCAGGGGAAAAAAATTTATGCTATAATTTCTCTCTCAAGAAAATTAAACATTAGCTTTATGAAATAATTGATAGAATAAAAGAAGATGATGGACAGAAAAATGCTAAAATTATTATTAAGCACTTTGTCCAAATCTGACCTTTCCTTTGACTTTACACTCAGGGCTTCCAATATTTTTCTCTGAGCATTAAAACATCTAGTAGTCAAGAAACAAAACAAAAAATAGACAAATTGGACTCATCAAAATCAACAACTTTTTACATCAAAGAATACAATCAAGAAAGTAAAAAAAACAAAAACCCACAAAATGGAAGAATGTATTTGCAAGTCATATATCTGACAAGGGGCTATTTACAGAATATAAAGAATGCTTAAAATCCAGTAGTAAAAAAAAGTTAGATTTAAAAATCAACGATTGAACTGAAAGATATTTCTCCAAAGAACATATACAAATGACCAATAAGATTATAAAAAGATCCTCAACATTATTAGTCACTAGGGAAATACAAATCAAAATCACAATGAGGTATTACTCACCAAGACAGCCATAATTTTTTTTTTTTAAAAAGAACATAACTAGTGTTGGCCAAAATATGGAGAAACTGGATCATTCACACATTGCTAGATGAAATGTAAAACAGTACAGCTGCTTTCTAAAACAGTTTAGCAAAACATAAACATAAAAGCTAAAAAAGTTACACACAGAGTTACTGACCCAACAATTCCACTCCTCAGTAGGTACCCAAAGTAATTGAAAACAGGTATTAACGCAAAAACTTGTACACAAATACTTATAACACCATTATAAATGGCGCAGTCTTTTATTTTATACTCTGCTCCTGTACACCTCTACCTGATTTATTATACTTGTGGATAAAAGTACCTTAAATTTAAGGCACTAAATTAGACAAAATGATTTTTGACATAAAATCATTAATTTAGGTTAATTTTAAAATAAGTTCAATCCAAACTTTTTTAATTAGCCTATTCTAGTGATAGCATGAAATGCTCAGTTAGAATGCCGAAGAACCATATTATACTCCCAGTTCTCCCCTGAACTGGCTGCAACTTCATTGCTGGCCTTTGCCTTCTGACATGCTGAGAATGTTATTAATTTTTAAGATTCCTTCCAGTTTAAAAATTATATCATTAGCTGCCAAGGGATTTGAGAATTTCTCTGAGTAAAAGAAGTCAGTTCACAGTTAAGGACTCAATAAAGAACAGACTGAAGTAGGAAGGGAAGGCATTTCATATTCAGACCTCTGATAACTTTCTTTAAATTATCCTTTTACATACAGCAAGATCATAGCTGCTGTCAACTCATGTTCTTATCATCTGGAATCATATGCCCAATAGAAGCAAGTTAACTCAAGTTGTGGATGTAAATATAATGCTATCTACAACCTTGGAAATCAGCCTCAGAGCTTGTGAGGAGTACACAACATCCCAACACATAAGCCAGAAAGATCCAGAAAGTATGGATATATTTTGTTAACAACATTATGAATGCTATGCAAAGGTCAAATGAGTTATAATCACTGATAGAGTAAACCTCTGACATTCTGTATTTAATATTCAACCATTCTGACTGTGCCCCAAGGACACTGAAGTTTCATGACATGAAACAGTTATTTTGCTATGGTACCAATTTAAAGCATATTATTGCAAGGTACAGTATAAAAGTCACTTAACAAACAATAAGTAGAATAGGCTATTCAGAAGCTACATTTCACTGAAGTTGCATTATTCCCTATTTTACCAGACTATTTACATATTAAACTCTGTGAAGTAAAAAAAAAACAACTCTTCTTTTATAGAGCAAAAGGGCATTAAAAAGTAAGCCAGCTCCCAATGCTAGTAAAATTAAAGAATAAAATTGAAAGGGTAATGCCAAGAAAATGAAAACACTAACTTGAAAGACTATCGGCACCCCTATGTTCACTGCAGCATTATTTACAATAGCCAAGATATACAAACAACCTAAGTGTCCACTGATGGATGAAATGGATAAAGAAAATTCAGTGTGTATATTCAGATATGTACACACACACACACACACACACACACACACACACACACACATAGTGGAATATTATTCAGCAACAAAAAAGAAGGGAATCTTGACATTTGCAACAACACAGATGGACCTTGATGGCATTATGCTAAGTGAAGTAAAGAAAGACAAATACTATATGGTATCTCTTATAAGTTGAATCTAAACAAACAAACAAACAACAAAAAAAAAAAACCAAGCTCGTAGATACAAAGAACAGACTGGTGGTTGCCAGAGGTGGGGGATGGACGGTAGGAGAAATGAATGAAGGGAACCAAAAGGTACAACATAACAGTTATAAAATAAGCAAGTCATAGGGATGTGATGTACAATGTGACAACTATAGTTAATAATACTGTATTGCATATTTGAAAGTTGCTAAGAAAACATATCTTAATAGTTCTCTTATAACACAAAAAAAACTGTATGTATGGTGAGCAATATTAACTAGACTTACTGTAGAGGTCATTTTGCAATATATACAAATACCCCGAATCATTTTATTGTACACCTGAAAGTAATACCATTATATGTCAATTATATTTCAATACAAAATAAAAGGATAATGGTGAATGTGAATTTGGCAGTATTTTAGATACATAACATAAACTAGTCAATGACAGCATTCTATGGAGTCAAGAAAAGGTTTTCAAGAAAATGTCTCCACGAGTGAGTGCTCCCAATGATGCCCAGCATATCAACTGAGAAATTATGCTTTAGGGTAAGTTTCAAAGACAATACAGCAAGAATGTGCAAATACTCACTGGAAATCAGTTTATGAAGAAAGCCAGGAACCCCTACAAACATTTTTATATTCATCTTGAGTTTATTCTTAGCAAATGTCAAGAGTCTCCTGTGTAAAATCCCTCTGACTGTAGCAATTCACTTGGAAATGGTCTGGATATATTAGACATTCAGATTGAAAGGAGGCAAAGTTAACGGTTTGCGTTACAATTCCTTTATTCCCTAACTAGGTAAATATGAAGTTCAGATATGGTTACTTCCTTATTTGGGGAGGGGGTGGGGGAATCTACATATTTTTTCTGCAAAGAAAGCAATACTTTGGATTTTAATTCTGATTTTTGTTTTCTTTCTGCCATTTCTCTCATATATTTGGCACGAAATTTTTATACAACCATACAAAGTGAATGGACCAACTGAGAGTATCAGCTAAGACAAATTTATGCAAAAAACAGATGTGGGTGTATGTGTATTGAGGGGGTAAAAAAAAATGACAAATTACTTTAAGAAATAAAATATAATTAACCACATTACTTATAAATTTTGGAGACTTAGACAAAAAACAATCTAAACTTTCCTTTTACATTTTTATTTTTTACTTGTTGGTCAAGACTATAAGAGAGAATTATTAAAATATTTATAAAGAGCACTAACTTTGAATGAACCAAGAAATGTATAAACAAAAATGCTTTTACAAGAAAGCAATGGATGTGTAGTGACCTAGTTACCTAGGGGGTTTTTCGTCTGCTGATCCATGCTTTTAAATCATTCTTCTGATAGCAGCCCACGTCCTCCAAGGAACTTCTTCCTGATTGCCCTTCTGTCAATAATGGTACCACCGTTCACCCCAATGAAGACCATCCAAGACTCTATACAGCAAAGGAGAAATCGTCTTTCTATTAAGATAAATAAAACCAGGAGGAGACTAATCTGCTGCTCCCCACAGACATCTTCCAGTAGCAGGAAGTCCAGTCATGATAAGAGAAAATCAGACCAACACAAAGGGAAGCAAAACTCAAAAACAGAGTTGCCTGAGAACCACACCCAGCCAGGCCTGAAGCCATTCATATCCATTGCATGCTTCTCAGTTACAGGACCTATATCTTCCTTTTTAGTTTGACTTGGTCTGAGTTGGATTTCTGTCATTACTCATAAAAGGGTGTAGCTCTGCGGGGTACCATTTTCCCAGCCTGGGGTGAATAAACCCATGAAACCAAAATCAGTTGAGGGAAAAACTAAAGTGGGAGAAACCTGGTTACTGCATACAAGAAGCCTAGCTCCATCCATCCCTCTCCTACGGCTAAGCCGGCTCACCGGTTTCTCTGGCTCAGCTCTTGCTCCCTCCACCCCTGTTTCTCCCATCCTAGCACATGCTCACCTCTCCCCTTTTGCAAACACCTATTGCTAAGGAAATGGACTAAGGAGAGAACAGCTTCTCTCCAACCCTTGTAAACACCTATTGACATGGAGATGGACTAAGTCCAGGAGAGAGATTCTGGAAATACTGCGATTTTACCCACAAAGAGGCATGTTACTTAAAACATATTTGTATCCACTTATTAAAGCAGAGGTCCTACAAAAGTCTATTATAAAATGAAAATTTTTTTTTCAGAAAAGCTAATGAATATGGGTTACTAATTAACTAAAAATCACATAATTTTTCAAGAACTGGAAAATATATTAAATACAAGCAAACCTTTTTAGTGTTACAGAAGCTGGTTGCTATATTATCAACATTTTATAATTTTATATCTAAAGATATGTCTATAATTAGTTCTAAAAATCAATACCCTTTTTACCTCAACTTACCTATTTATCTCTGTTTATATACATACAACTTCTTTTAGAAAGAGTGAATGTACAGATTTCATTGGTTTTTTGAAACAACTTCTAGGAATATATTTTGTCTAACCAAACCATACCCACATTTGGGCTAGATATTGAATGACACTCTAAAAAGCCATACATATTATTACTTCAAAGATGATCCATATTTCCCAAATATAATAAGATGAAATTGTGATTATGAACAGTGTTGGGTTTTTAATTACTATGTTTTTTTCAGGTAAAAAATTATTAAGATCAGATCATCTTTGCTGGGCTAGAGCTAGCAAAATTCCATTTCAAAAAGTAAAATTTGGATATCCATTCCTCACTCTCAAAAGGTTCAGAAAACCATAAGTAAACAGAGAAAGAGAGGCCAACATGGCAAATATGGCACAAAATGTTAACACTTGAGGGTATTTGAAGAACCTTTTTATTATCTTGAAACTTTCAAGTCTGAAGTTATATCAACATAAAAGTTAACAACTTAGTACCTTGTCATATAATTACTAGAATTAAATGATTTATATTTATATCTATTTTCTATTTTGTGAACTTTGTTTTCATACATACAACACATTCTTTAACTGAGATTTTTGCCTTTACATTTTTCCTCTCTAAGCACTCTAAGCTTATGAAGCCTTTATCTGATTTATAGTTTTCCAGAAAACCATTTGCCTTTTCTCTTTAGTTTATGGTGATATTTTCCCTCATGAAGTCAAATATATCTGATGTTACTCTTAAGTATTTTCTTTTATCTTACGGTTGTAAAATACCCACTTCAAGGTTAAACAAATACCCATGGTACATTTGCTTCTGGTTTGGAAAAACAAAACGGGGGAAGAGTGATAGAAATGTATAACATAGTAGGACTGGGGAAATTATTTAATTTATCTATTCTCTTATCTGCCACTCAATTTAAAGGAGAAAAATCATTTTGGTGAATTATACTTTTTAAAATAACTTTTCATCTTTTTTTATTGATGTATCATCAACATACAGTTTTATATTGGTTTCAAATGTACAACACAGTGGTTCAACAGTTTCCCATATTATTAAATCCTCACCCACTCTAGTGCAGTTAAACTTTTTAATGTGACTATGTACTTCATTTCTGTGGTAGTCACGTAGCCCCAACAAAATGAAAGACTGACCACGCAGAGATGGTATATCCATGCAAAAAAAGGAAAAAACTTTCAAATATCTGCACCAGAACCTTTTATAGATATAACACTTTTGTTAAACTTTCTCTGTATATTGGGCAAATTTGCGGATTTTTTACCTGGAATGTACCACAATTTAAGAGTATTCATGCATTTTCTGAACTGGTCCTTGTGGGATACAGGGAATATTTAAGAACTTAGATAAAACTATGCAACCTATTATGTAATAGCTAATATGTATATATCCTGGGTGGAAGTTTTCCATTTTAGAAGCAGTATACCACTTTGGTTAAGACCATAAGCTTTAGCTCTAAGCTAGATGGATTAAAATTGTAGCTCTGTTGTGAAACAGTTACGTGATCTAAAGCAAATAATTTAACATTTGTGTGTCTTGGTTTCCTCATCTGTTATCTAAGATAATAATAATATTTACCACACAGATTTGAGGAGATTAAACAAGATAATACATGCAAAGCGCTTGGAATTTGTGCTGGCCCACTCAAAGGACACAATATGTCAGCTATTTTTTAGAACTGTTTCTTATATTTGATTCTCATTCCACAGCCATGTCTACATTTTAGTCAAAGGGAATGAAAATGACAAAGAACTTGAGATTAAAATTTCAGAAACAGGGTTTCACTGTTACTTTTCTCTAAGTACATGGCGTGTATGCACCTAACAATAACACAGGCAAACATATAAAACTGTGGGATATGCAGGAATAATGTCATTAAAAATACATAAACATAAGCTTTTCATATAACTTTTTCAGTATCAAACAGCCCAAGTACACCAAAAATAAAAGTATAAAGAAAAATGCAAAATACAAACTTTTAAAAAATGTAATATTTTTGCCACTAAATACAAAATGTGAATTTTTTTAAATTTGTAGACTATGTACAAAAATTTGCCTGTACTTACCCACATAAAATCATAAACTTATTCAAAATACTGTAGGCAATGTTATTTTCACAATCCAACAAAGTAAAAAATAAAAATAAAAGTGACTAAAAATACTATAGCACTTGAAAACACACTAATAATCCATGGGTAGAAAAAAATCAAAACTAATTATAAGTTATATCAATGCTATAGACAGAACACATCACCCAAAACTACAGATCACAGAGAAAGTCAGCAGGAAACACTGCAGCCTCCTCTCCTTATTTTACTAAGGAAGGAACTTGCTGCTCTTAGTAAAAGAATATAGTACTCTCATTACAAATCTTAAAAATCAGAAAATAATAAACTGAAAGAGATGAAAGAAACTAACCAAGACAAAAGTTCAAATTAATGAAAAAAAAATACAGTACAATAGCTATTAAAATAATCCAAAGGCTAATAATTTAAAAACTCAATAATATAGATAAATGTCTTTCAGGTCTGTTTATGGAAAAAAAATGTGTGTATGATTAGAAAGGAGAAAGGACACATTCAGAAGAAATTAAAGTACTTAAGACTAAATACTGATACATGGCAACCAATATGTTAACTCAGGGAAAAGGCTAAAAAAGATAAAAATTATTAAAAACTGAACCAAATAGAAGTAGAAATCTTGAATGATTTCTATAAAATAATTTGAAATAAGGATTTAAAAGTTACCTTTTCTAAAGACACCAGAACCAGGTGGTTTCACCAATGAGTTCCATCTATTTTTTTAAGGCTCAAGGAATTTAATTATTTACACTATGCCAGGCCATAGCAAAATATTAAAAGCTCTATTTATTTGGTAAAGTAGCATTATCTTAGCAACCAAACCTAATAGTAAAAGTACAATATACAAATTATAATTCACTACCACTAAATAAAATTAGGCTTCAGCAGTATATCAAAAGGATAACATAATTTGACTAAATAGAGTTCATTCCAAGGACACAAGAACGGTTCAATACTAGGAGAGTATCATTATTATTAATTATATCAACTAAGTGAATGATATACAGATGATTATAATAATGAAAAACAAAATAGTATTACATAAAAATTGAGCCATTCCTAATAAGAACAAAGTAATTTAATTGCCAAGAAAAAATATTTAAACGTAACACTTCTTAACAAAAACACTACTATATATAGCAATAATTAGTCCTTAGACTTCTCTCCTTGAATGTCTGAAAGACTCTTAATATAGCTAAATGCATGAACTATGGTGACATCTGTCAGTAGGAACTGAGAAAGAAAAAACGTATTTGAAATTTTATATATATTTATCCCACACACACACAAGCATATACATACATTCACCATATAAACACCACCAAATTTATATACAAAAACATGTGTATTTCTTCACAGAAAACAAATACAACATATATAATTATACATTTGTATTTATTCTATTTTAAAATACTAGTTTACCTGTTTTGGCAGTCGGAACAAGGAATTCTTATAGAAAATGTCCTTTGCCTGGCTCCATGTACCATCAATGATGATGATGGTGGAAGGATAAATAGGAGAATCTAATATAAATTCTTCCAAATTAGCAGCCTCAACCCCTGGATATAATATTAATGTGTCAGATTTCCGACAAACAGTTGAAATTTCAGGATCTCTAAAAGTTGAAAAAAGAAGTCTTTATTAGGTGGTGGGGAGGGGAGAAGTTCTATTGTTCTTACTGAATGTTATTCAAAAACACATGTCAAAGCATTTGGGCACTGGAGATGTAATAATGAAAGAGACACCTCTGTCTGCATGCAACAAAACAACATAAAAGGGGAAGGAGACTAGTTAAAGAGTCAATCAAAGACAGTAAATGGCATCTTCAAACTGATAAACGGCATCTATAAAAAAATGTACAGCCAATGTAATACTTAACAATGTCCCATAAGATTGGGATCAAGGTAAAGATATTGGCTTTCACCACTCCTAATAATCATTGTTCTTAAGGTCCCAGTACTGTAATAAGGCAAGAAAATAAAATAAAAGGCATAAAGATTGGAAAGGAAGAAGTATAAATGACCATATTTGCAGATAATAATGCCACTTAGATAGTTCTAGGGACTCTACAAGACAATTTCCAGAACAAATGAATTTAGAAAGTCACTGCGTACAAGGTTAATATATAAAACCCAAATGTTTCCTTATATAGTAGAGGCAAAGAAATTGAAAATAAGTATTTTTAAAATCCACTTACCAAAGATATGAAAAGCAGTATGTTTCTTAATCATTCTCCCATGATTACATCATATACTCTAACAAAAGCCTAAATTAATCATTCAATTACCAGATTAATATTAAGTCAATAATCTTAATTAACTTTAAGATGTATCACTGAATAATAATTTACTAAGTAAGCACTATATTAGACACCATAGGAAAAACTTAACTACTTAATAAAATAGGCCCAAAATGGCAAACTTCTCTTCCCCAAGCACATTTGCGGACTGGTGAAATAGTCAAATGTCACGGATGACCCAGATAGTTTCCACTTCTACCACCATAAATGCTCACTACTTTTGCAAAATAACCTGGAGCAAAGTTGGTAGATTAGGTGGAACAGAGTTTCACATCATATATATAGACCCACATCCACACAAGAATTACAGAGAAACTACATTACAAAAAGCCTCTGTGTGAAATAAGTGTCCCATGTAAATCACATAGCTGCGTTCTCCCTGAGAAGAGCTCTGGATCTCACTCCGATGTGCAACAAAATGTCAAAATCATAACTGCACCACCAAGCCGAGTAAATCTCATGTCCAGGAGCAAGGCAATGCAAAACCTTTAACAGAAAATTCTATAGGGGAAAAGAGTGCCTAGCCAATAGTTTCAGAGAAGGGAAAAAATATTATAGAGTCTAAGGTGACATTACTTTCATAATATGAAGCTAAATAATAAAGGAAGCTAAAATAATAAAGGAAGGAAAAAGTATGGTCGATTCTTTGGGCTTGGTGCTAGTATTAGTCTTACTTAGCATTTTCATAAATGAACTCATAGCAACTTCCATATTTTCAAGAGAAATTAAATTTTGCATCTAAAAATATATTTGTACAGACAGGATCAAAGTAATCTGTGTAGGCTTTATGAATGGATAGAAAAGCAACAAATATGCGAAGACTTGTAGAAAAATTTAAAAATACTTAGAGTATGTAATATATATGTATGATAATGGGTTCTGTAATACACTGTGAAATAAGGTCCAAGAACATCAGAACTGTCAATGAAGGTATCAACTAATGGGCTGCTGTACGTAAAAATTCCGAGCCTTATCAAAAAGAATATTTTAGAGATGACAGGAAAACGCAGCCTATCTATCCTTTAAAAAAGTATGATGTGTCTATAATAACAATATTAAATATAGTTCTACTCAGCATACCTTAGAAAAGCTTTAATATGCTAGAAATGTGTAGCTAAGTACTTAAACACATATCATATATAATTAGAAAAAAAAGAAAGAAACTGAACTAAATCTAATACAAGTATCCTACCATCTTGAAGGCACTTTTTAACAAAAATGAAACAGTAAACATGAGCCCTTTAGGCTCAGCATATATTACTATGAAATTCAGACAATGATTATTGCTTTGTTTACTCCATTCTGGTCTGTGTTTCTGAAGGGTGTGTTTGTTTATATTTTGCTTTGTCTTTCTTTTATTAATTTGAGGGAGAAGGCAGAACTTAAATTTTTTGGCCACTTTCAATATGCCAAGTTCTAGGTCTAATGAATAAGCTGATGGAAACCAATTTTAAAGATTTGTGTAGGAAACAACTATTTTATATTGCCCTGAAAGTTAATTTACCTTTCTTCACTGAAGCGACGACCAACCTTGACTTTACACTTGTCCTGGGGGAGGCACGCTGCTAGTAGAGGAACTGTCCGCAACACTTTATTTTCCTTCAATTGAAAATTTAATTGAAATGTAGGTTTTTACTCAAACACACTTTTAAAACTTTCATGTCTAACATTTGATTCATAACATTATATATAATTTTCCAAATCTTTCAGTATAGACTACAGTTTAATAAAAAGACCTATACTTTCTCTGAATTATCAGTATTAAATATAATACAACTGTGCATTTTTATTCTATTTGGGTATATTTAGAGGTCTGCTAATCAAATAACATTAATGTAAATAATGTTTAAGGTCATGAAAAATGTAAATCTGTGCTTAACTAAACTGAATCATTTATTCTGAGAAACTTTATTTCAATAGTAATTACATTTTGTAGTTCACCAGTTTGAAGGTAATTGCCTAGATCTGTCTGCTCTAAAAAACAAAACAATGAGGTATCAAAGGGACACAGAAGCCAATCACAGAGAGCTCCCAATGGCCAAACTGGAACAACTTCGGCAACAAATAAATAACATGATATTTGGATTACAACCCAAAATATAAAAAGAAGACCCCAGATTGACATAAATAAATGACAAAAATAATAAATGGGAGAGAAGAGACAAATCTTCCTTACAGAAGAATTTCAAGTAATAAATTTTAATACTCCCCACTCCAGGAGGTGGAGCTTAATATCTCCTTCCGAACCACTTGAGTGTGGGCTGGATTTATGGCCTTGCTTCCAAAGAGTAAAGAGTATGGAAGGGGGAAAAAATTATGACTTTAGAGTGAAATAATCTAGAGTGACCATTTCTGTAAATTTCATTAACTCTCATCAGTGTTTTTTTTTTAATGTCCTAGCTTCCAATACTACAAACCACTTCTCTTGTTGTCACAAGAATTCCATCCTTCATAGAGTAGAGCCAGGTGATTAGCTATTCTGCCTTAGACTTGAACACCTCTTGGTTATTTTATTCCATAATGTTCAGTCACTGTTTGGCTCTTCCACACTAGCCCGACTGAGGAAGTCATGCTTGATCAAATAAGTGGCAGAGGCCCTCTCTAATCAGTCTACCTATACACAGCCCAGTGTTATCTTTATCACTTTACATAATCTTGATTATATACGTCCTCACCGTGAATAATTTGACTATCTTTGTGTCTACAAAAGAATGAGAGTGTACTTAGGGAACATCAAATACTACTTACTTTAGGAATAGCAGAGTTACTTAGCAAATTAATACACAAAACAATAATGTTACATATGATTTTACTAAAGTAATTAAAAATAAATTTACAATTACAGCATTTATGTCTATAACAGACACCAAAAGTATTGTATTAACAGTATTCAACCACCACATGCACACATGCTATATATACATATATACACTCTTTGCGGCACATTTATGTTTACCCCTTTCACCCCTGGGTCTCTGAAGTATTGATTAAAATAGTTATGTAAAAGGCACGTTTAAAGATGCTGAGAGTAATTAAGCTGACCTATCAAATAAAAAGTTGGAAAAGGACATACAAGAGTCAGAATTTGTTCAGATTTTAACTAAGAATAACATGAAGCAGGCTGGAGCTCTGAAGGACCCTGCAAATAGCAATCTGGAGCAGCTTATATGAAGAATGGGCCTAGGAAGAGATAGGTGTGAGCAATGTTTGAGGACATTTTCCAGTATTTCACACTGCTTTCTTCCCTTCTTACCATCACTATAAGACTTTGACACATGCTTAAATCACTTTCCAAACTTTTATCAAAGTAACACATGTATACATGTCAAATTAAATAGTTTCAAATTATTTATAATATTCCCAGATACACTCCCAAAGGCAATCACTTTAACTCTTTTAGCTATTTCTTCTGGTAACTATCTCCATAATTCTATGTAATATGTGTGTTTTGCTTTTTCTTGATTTATCGATTTTAGGTATTATCTACAAACTACCACTTATTATCATCATAATAGCAAACTTTAATTGATTTCATTCTAAGTACATTTTACATATATAGATAGATTCATTTACTGTTCACAGTAAAATAATAAAAAAGTACATCTTTTATCATGTCCATTTTACTAATGATGAAACTAAAGCATGGAGAGGTTAATTAACTTACCCAAGGTTACAGAGTTGACAGAACTATTAGGGACTTAAACTCAAAGCAAACTGGCTCCAGGATTCTCACTCTAACCAACTGTACTTTATAACTATGGCCTCTTATAAATAAATGAGGATTTAGCTTTCTCACATCATTCTTTACCCTAAGATTTTCTAATATTTTTAGTTAAATCAATAAACAGTAAACGTTGCAACCATTATTGCAACATTTACATTGTTCACAAAAGGCCAAGCAATTGACCATAATATATCTTCTTGTAAAGCTTTTTGTTATTTTTGTAATGACTATATTGTTTTACCCTTAAGTAATTTTCTACATATATACACCTACTCTTTGAAATGCACTACCATATCACTTCGGTTATCTTCTATTCCATCAAGTCTTCTTTCCCCAAAGTTCCTTCCTAGAGCCTTTCCAAATGGTTTTCAATCACCTTTTTAGGGGGGAGTCATCAGAATGGCATATTCTTTTATTGACAACAGTGTGCTCAGATTAAGCACAAGTCAGCCCAGTATTATTGAGTTAGATAAGGAAAAACAATATGAATACATGTGTATATACATAAAATGCATTTGCAGCACACACAGTTATAAAAAGATACCTAAACTGTGTATTAACCAAAGAAGGAAGGAGGGAGGGAATGATTTGAAAACATTAAAACTGCCACGGATCAATGAAAACACTACATTTTAAAAGCCATCTTATGTCTAGAACCACAATAATGAAAAAACATCATCTATATACATTGCTAAATGAAAATAGCATTTGCCATCAAAAGACAAGTGTTCACTGTTACAACAATAAGTTATAGTTTCATGTAAATTGGAGCTGCACAGGTACTGTGAGTTTAAATGCAGCAAAATAATGCTACTAATCAAATTGCCACAATCCTGACAAAAGCATGTTGTTTCATTAACAATGAGAAAAAAGTCACCCAACAAATGGTATGTTTAAGAATTTGCAATAGAAGAGTAAGTGTTTCACCATTTGGAAAAGGAAAAGATTAATATCCTTCACGTCTCTGTTAAAGTCTTCAAGTTGTACAGGCTTCAGAAATTCAAGAAAAAAATTATTCCTTCTTCAAAAGCCTGATTTGATCTGTGATGTCATGAGTTCCTAACATCCTGAAAGTTTTGACTTCAGTTTACACTAAACCCATTTCGCACCATGCACAACTAGTTGTGTACTGATTATAATCTGTGATTATCTATGACCTCCTTCCCTCCCCTCTTCATTACTGCAGTTAACCAAGAGTTACATACATACCAGTATATGCGCAATTCTCACCAATACAGAAACTAAGAAGTCTTTATATACTATGTATGTGTGTGTGTATATATATATAACTATAAAATACACATATTTTTCTATTCATTTAAAGATATAAAAAATTATTTCATACACTTTGTAACACTAAAATGCTAAAAGATGTCAATTAATATAAGGTATGATCAAAATCTTCTTAGCTCTTTACTCATTGTAAAGAGACCTACTCCCGAAATCTCATTGTTCTTCATACAAAATTGCTGGAGTTCCAAATTTCTATTCTATTTAATAACACAATTTTTATGAAGTAATACCTTTTTATGAAATAACATGGTTTCTATCTGTTGCTAAAGCATATGCCACTATACTATCATGTAATATATGAAAGAAATTATTTTTCCCAAAGATAAAGCATTTATCATCAATTAGAAATGCTAAAAGGATGCAGAGAAAGGGGAACCCTCCTACACTGCTGGTGGGAATGTAAACTAGTTCAACCATTGTGGAATGCAGGAGCCCAGTTTGAAAAAGACATATGCACCACAATGTTTATTGCAGCACTATTTACAATAGCCAAGAAATGGAAGCAACCTAAGTGTCCATCAGTAGATGAATGGATAAAGAAGATGTGGTACATATACACAATGGAATATTATTCAGCCATAAGAAGAAAACAAATCCTACCATTTGCAACATGGATGGAGCTAGAGGGTATTATGCTCAGTGAAATAAGCCAGTCTGAGAAAGACAAGTACCAAATGATTTCACTCATCTGTGAAGCATAAGAACAAAGCAAAAACTGAAGGAACAAAACAGCAGCAGACTCACAAAACCCAAGAATGGACTAACAGTTACCAAAGGGAAAGGGACTGGGGAGGATGGGGGGGAAGGGAGGGATAAGGGGATTAAGGGGCATTCCGATTAGCACACACAATGTAGGGGGGTGGGGCACAGGGAGGGCAGTGTAGCACAGAGAAGACAAGTAGTGACTCTATAGCATCCTACTATGCTGATGGACAGTGACTGTAATGGGGTATGTGGAGGGGACTTGATAATGGGGGGAATCTAGTAACCACAGTGTTGCTCATGTAATTGTATATTAATGATACCAAAATAAAAAAATAAAAAATAAATGCTAAAGAGGTGGAAAGGATAAGGACGTTCATGGATATGTTTCCTCTTGCATACTACAATTCTATGTGAAATGGTGTATTTTACAAAATCTTACCTCTGCTGGATGCTGAATTATGTACAAGTGGGTAGAGATGTGCAGAGGATGTACTGGTAGAAATGGGCACAAACATACTTTCTGAGGTCGGCTAAGGGGCAGAAAGAGAAAGAAAACCTATAAATGTTTGAAATAGAATGAAATAACAATAATATAAAACTTGAACATAATCTCACTTTATTATATAACTCTCTATTTTGCTAAAGCTGCATTCTTTTAAAATGACACACCAAGAATGAATTTAATCAGACTTTAGATATGAGAATCTGGAAAAAGACTCAAGTCTGTATCTTTATAGATCAAAGTACCTCAAAAAATCTTGTCTTAGTTATATTTAGTGGAAGACTACCCCTAAGTCACCACCAGGGTCTTTTTATTCATGGATCAACACATCTACAAACTTGGATTCCAAATCAAGAACCAATTTCAATGTCAAAAAGAAACCTGGCAACTTTTTAAAATCAACTGAAGTTGGAGGGAACAATATGATGATATTTACCATCTACATTAGGGTTCTAATGAAACTTAGCCACCAATCAACATGGAGGGCTTACCAATTGTGAGAAGAAACCCAAATTGGGCTTACCAATTGTGAGAAGGCTGCCAAATTACATTTGGTTAGAATTTTTCCACAGAGTATCTACCTTATCCATTTATTTTTCCTGGCATTATGGTTTACGTTGCTTTTGTTTACTTAATTTTTAGTGCTTTGCTATTGTTTCAGTAACACACTCATTACAAAATTTAGGGGGACTAAAAAGGTATAGCTCCCTTCTCCAATCTAGGGGCATTCTCTTCTCTAGGGTCCACAATAACCAGTTTCTTGTGTGTCCTTCCAAAGGTATTGTAGGAATAGACATGGATATTTTACCATTAAATCCTATATTTGAATATGTGTCTATAATATGAAATTCATCAAGTAGCCAGATATAGTACACCATGGGCGTAAATTTTCACAAGAGGTCACCATTACAGCAGATGTCACATGCCATTATAATTAGTATACAAGTGGGTGTTACATTAAAAGGAATTCCCAACAGCATAATTACTACTACAAAACTGATTGCTATCAACTCCTTCCTCAAATTTATGGAGAGCTTTGACTGAAGGTAAGAAATGCTTATATTAATAAACTGTAGAGTGTGAGTAAATTGGTTCAATTGCATCTACCACCTCATTCTGCAAGAAACTGTTAAACCTATCCTCCTGCTGAAAAATTATCAGATAATATCGTAGGCAGAGGCAGAAACATTGCACATGACCCCAGCCTGAAATGACCTGGTGTGATTCCTACGCCTAATGCTGGAGTCCCTCTTGGAAATGTGAGCAGATTTGGAGGGACAGAGTCTTTCAGTGATGACAAGATGAGTAAACACAGAGAGGAGCATACAGCGATTGGTGGAACTACTTACACTGACAAACATTACCAAGGGCTGCAATTTGAAAGGATTCTTCATTCAGTTAAATAATGAAAAGAATGAGGTATCTTCAAACTCTAAAATTCTAAGTTTATGATTTTCTTTATATGAAACTCCATATATAACTGAAGTGCATGATCAGATGTCAGTACAATTATTTTATAAAATGTAATTTAAGATCTGATGAGGCCATTTTAAAAATCAGAATTTAACTGGATATCAGCTTAGGTATCTGCAAATTGTATGATTCGAAGAATATGAAAGTGCAAAAAAAAAAAACAGATGTTCTATGCAGGGAATAGGGTCAAAGAACTGTAAAATCCAATTAAGTACTCAAGCTCAGGTGGAAGCTTCAGATTTCAATGGGTAGCAAAAAAACAGGAAAACTAAACCCTGAAAATAACATCTTTGGCTCATGACATACATAGTGAGTATAAAAGTCCTTAGTATGACAGAAGAGTACAAAGAACTGCTCTGGATATTGGTAGTTCTACATTTCATATCTGACCAAAACCTCTGCTCATTTAACCAAAAAAAAACAACCTCAATTACCTGGGATGGCAATTTTCTTACTGGGAATACACATCTGAACTTTAGGAAAATTTAGAATTAAGTAGTTTAGAGAACTTCACTTCTAAGATGGCAGGGAAAATTGCTTCAGAGACTCACTCTCTAGTGACACAAGCAAAGCTACCAATAAGTGTTTTAAAAACAACGACTTAAAGTCTCTGAAAATTGTGCTACTGGAATATTCAAATGAAGAAACCTTATTCAAGAAAATCTACTGAAACTTGGTATTGGGACAGTCTATGGCACTTGAGCCATAACCCATTTCCTACCTTGCCCCAGCTCAGGCTGACAGAGATTTCATCCAGACTGGTGTAGCCAAGAGAACAGCGCTCCCTCTCAGCTCTTGATCAAGGCTGTATGTCACAGGGAACCAACCATACGCCTTCAGCATTTCTCATCCCCTCCAACTCCTAGGTGAAGAGGCTCAATTCCTAGTGAGTGTGGCCAAGAGAGCAGAGGCTCCCTTCCTCCCCCAGCCTCTGCGTGTAAAGCAGAAGCCTGACCACAGTGCGGAAGGCTGAGAATGCGGGGACCATACTGCCCTCACTACAGTTGGCTCACAGGACAGAAGTTCCACACCGGAAACAGCAAGCCAGAGGCTACTGCTCAGCCCTGTGCCCAGAACAGTTGCTCAGAGACTCTGCCCAGGAGGAGGGACAGACTATAAGAAAAGAGAGCTCTGAAACTCTCCCCAGAGTAACTTACTTCATTTGAAATGAACTATGAGAAAGTTCAAGCCTAAGGGTACTCTCAAAAACAGTATAACTCCTCTTAATTAAGAGCAACAAGCTAAATCATAGCCCAGCTACTTCATTAGAAAGAACTAGGGAAAGAGACAGCTAAGAACAACACACCTGCAGTTGGAACAAACCTGAAAGATTGGCCTCAAAAACTAAGCTAGCCCAAATTTAATGGAGTAAGACTACTAAGCAATTTATGCTCTAGTGCACTGTATCAAGATGATCAGAACAATCTGATAGAACAATCTGCCCTAATGGGCAGGATGCAACACCAGAAGAAGAAGGAAGCTTATGAGAAAGATCTGGAATAGAGACACTCAAAGAGAACTTTGCTAAACCCATGAGATAGTGGAGATGTTTGCACAACTCGGCTCATATAACAAAAACACTTGAATTGTACACTTTCAAAGGATGACTATCATATGTGAATCATCTTCATAAAGTTGTTTTTCTAAATATAAAATGCAATAGAAAAAGAACAGTCTATTAGTAAGGGAGATGCATTTTACCACTTTTGACACTACGTTGTCTGAAGGTGAGTTTCCTTCCCTCCAATACAAGCTACGTGAGGGCAGGACTTGGCCTTCTTTTTCCACTTTTATATCCCAGCACCTAGCATTCAGCAAGCACCTACTAAGCTATCAATAAATACTGTTGAATTCATGAAGGAGTACTTCCATATCCTCTCTCATCTACCTTGGGATGCCTTTCCCATTTCTTATCCTATCCCTTCATATTCTTACATACAAATACTGATCTATCCTTCACTTCATTGCTGGTACTTAAGCAAATAATTTGTATCATAAATGGAATTCAGAGTCTCAGATCTTCCTTTGCTATAATTTGTGACTGTTCTGGTAAGTAATAGTACGTAAGAGGCAAAAATATTCACTGGAAAAAATAGTTACTAAAAAAAAAAAAAAACAAACCTAAGCACTTACATGTAAACGCTGTAACTGTGATTTAAGCTAAAACTAATTGTTTTGGCTTATGCTTTGACATGCTCATAAAACATCATCACCTACTTATTTTAAAGCATGTCCCCTTTACTAACCTAATTCTCATTACAATTACCTCAAACTAATAAAACTATAGTTCTTTAAAGCATTTTACATTCCAAGTGATCAACTTTATGTTTAGCAAGTTATTTTACAATGTAAATTTGTGCTTATTTGTTATTTTAACAGCGATTTTTCTCACTTTCCTCCCCCACAATGGTCTGCATGTACTGCACTGGTAACCAGCTGTCCAAATGTTAAACCATCTCTTACCAAAGTAGTGGATAAATGCAGAGTAATTGCTCTCCTCATTCTAAAATATTTTTCCAAAGGGCAAAAAAAAAACTCCCTGTTTAAACTTAACTCTCGAAGGTTTAAATATTCCAAATCAATAATAATTTATAAATTCAACAAATCTTTATTCAAATATTTGCCATCACCTAACTATGTGCCAGCATTAGGCACTTGGGACATACAACAAAGATTCTTGCCCTCATGGAGTTTGTTTGTTTTCTGTGCCAGAAAGAATTTTCTTTAAGTTCCTTGCTTCCTATTACACTGGACAGGAAAAAAAAACAAAAAACAGAAAACAGGTGACTATGCATCAAAACTGATCACTTATAAATAATGGACATTCATTTAAAAATAAAACTCAAACTACTTCTAGAATCTAAGGAAGAAAAATTACTATCTGAAAAATATCAGCTGGTCAGTTGGGGAATAACTTCAAGATGTGTCGCTGACAATGTCATTAACTTGCTGTGTGATCCTGAGCATGTCACAGGTTTTCAATTTCCTCCTTCATAAAACCGGTAATATGGCACCAAGAAAGTTCTGCGGAGTAACTACTGAATCACAGGCAGTGTTATAAAATGTAATCACCTAAGACTATTGTTTTTCAGCTAATTTATAAAATAATGACCAAAGTAAAAGCTGAGATTTTTCCCTCTTCTGTATTTTCAATGCGCTGCAAGTGTATTATAAATACAGTTTTCCATCATTGGGAGTTATCGCCTTTAAAAGCTATACAACCCAATTAATCTTAATTATATTCCTAAAATATAAATGAATTTTCAACTAATTTCCCTTAGGGAATTTTATGAAATAAGGTTTTTCTCCTTTTCTCATTAAGGATGTAAAGAATAAATATATAGATTTCCTGTCAGACTAAGATTGACTGGCTTCCAAAGTGAATGCTGCAATACAAGGGTAATCTGTCACCCTAGGCATGCTCTCTCTGACAGCCTGGAGGCAAATAAAATTACATCTGACACACAACTAGAGATGCTAGTACCTACAAAAAACATCTTTCAGAAGTTTAATTACATTTCTTACAAAATATTCACTAGAAGCTATTTTTCTCAT